AGTTCTCCAGAGGCCCTTCATTTCCCAAGTAGCTGGAAAGTTCTCCAGAGGCCCTTCATTTCCCAAGTAGCTGGAAAGTTCTCCAGGGGTCCTTCATTTCCCAACGAGCTGGAAAGTTCTCCAGAGACCCTTAATTTCCCAAGTAGCTGGAAAGTACAAGCTGGGTGTTGGATGGGCGTTATTTGATTTTTTGTTTACACTGTCAGCCAACCTGCCCTGCACCCTTCCAATGCTGCTCCGCATCTCCACCTTTCCTGGGAGGCCAAGCCAGGCTATAGCGAAGTGATCAATTTTATGATCATCTCTGCCCTACGTCTGTGAGGGCCTGGCACTGAAGGGGTTCCAAAGACATATCAAAGGGGAAAACAACTTGGAGTCTGAGAACAGCTAAAAAGGTGGATTTTATTTTCGTTGAAGAGATCGTGATTTTTTTTTTTTCCTACAAATGGACCGGATCAACCATTGCACTATGATGGAGGGAAAAAAGACGGAAACAGGGACTTGAAGATTTATGAATTGATGCAGATGGCAGTGAGGTGGAGGCTATAGAGACCTGCCATGTTTGTATGCCGTATGGTGATACTGGGAAAGATTATGTCATGGGAGAAAATTGTGGCCAATCATGCCCAGCCAGCCAGTCATCTTCACTTTTACTACTGGTTTCCCATGTATTAACCTACTACTGCTTTTGGAGAGATGGCACTCTTATTCCTCATAGTTCCTACCCCCAGGGACACGGGGGGTTCTGGAGTTGTACAGTTTACACATTATAGCTCAACAGGGGGAAGTTGAGACAAATACTTTTTTCTTAAAGGTTAATGATGTAAGGGGAGTGTGAGAGCCTTGTAAATATTATAAATATTTAAAGACTTAACAATGCTGGGAGATGAACTTGCATAACTAAGAGAAGTGGCAGTAAGAAGAATGGTCACTCCCGGTGATGGTTTTCACAGACATATTGTTTTAAACATGAATCTGTGCCAAAATGACTTTTAAGATGATGCAGTCAAAAAAAGGAATTAAAATCAAATCTTATTTTCATACTTGACTTTGTATTTGTCACTTACTCATAATTGCTTCTAGCTTGACTGTCTTGTTTTAACGGTTTACTTAATTTTATCCCTCTTTGCTACTCTGTCTTGTCTATTTTGAAAAAAAAAAAAGTGCTATAAGCCATTCTGTAAGTTGATCGTTTACAGTAACTCTTGACATCTGGTGAATGTTTCCTGAACCACAATTTCCCTTGAATGTCTGCCCCTGTAAAACATACGTGTTAAGCAAAAGTAGGAAGCGAAAGGGGTGACTGTACGATAACAATGCCATACTTGAGTTTGAAACATTCTTATAGACTTTCAAGGAAAAGAAATTGGGAAGGGAAAAAGCAATGGGACTCAAGCAGAGCCAATAGTGGATGTGTGAGCTCTATGTCTCTCAACCGTGGTGTAAATAGTCATTTATCCCTTCTGTGTCTTTTTTAATGTTTTATTTTTCAGGGTCAATTTGTTTTGTCAGACAAAACAAAGCAGTCTGAAAAAGACAGAACTAAGTGTAAACCGATGTCGAAAGTAAACCATGTTTCTCAGTTTTGTGGTGTAAATATTTGTATGACTGCAGGCTGACACCTCTATTGTTGAAGGCACTTATAATTTTGATACATAAATAAAAAAAAAATCAAACAAACAACAGAAAAACAAACAGAACAATCTTAAACATTGTCCCTGTACCCAATTTCATTTTGAGTGTAATATATTGTTCCTCTATGAGGTTATTTTAAGATGTTTTGTAAAATAAAACGTTGGTTTATACAATCCACCGATCATTAAATGATCAGTGACTACATTTTAATTTTGAAGTGTTTGCGACATTTGTCAGAACTCTTAAGCAAAAGCATTAAACTAGAATGTTTACACTTTTGAATGAATTTTGCTTTCCTGTGAGAGAATTTCATGAGAATTCATTTTAACAGCAAACTTTACATCATTGACAAACCGAAAACTGTTTGCATGGTGTAATGTCAAACAGCATGAAGATTGTTGGGCTGATTTTTACATTTTATAACAGAGCTCTCCTATATTCAAAAATACACTTCAACCTGCATGGACACCTATTGAGTCAATCATTGTACAAGTCCCAGAACCTGTTTCCACTGCTCCAAAGCCCAGTGGCAGTGTGCCTTAAACCGCTCCATCTGACGCTTGGCATTGTGCTTGGAGATGTGAGGCTTGCATGCAGCTGCTTGGCCATGAAAGCCCATTCCATGAAACTCCTGGAAGAAATTTCACAAACTGACTTATTGCAAAGGTGGCATCCTATGACAGTATCATGCTTGAATTCACTGAGCTCTTCAGAACGACCCATTCTTTCACAAATGTCAGTAAACCTGACTGCATGTCTAGGTGCTTGATTTTATACACCTGTGGCAATGGGTCTGAATGAAACACCTGAATTCAATGATTTAGTGGTGTGTCCCAATACCTTTGCCCATATAGTGTATATAACATACTAAAGGAGAAGGGAAATACCAGAAAAGTATAATAGGACCCCTTCGAAAAATGAAACATCTCTTTCCTGTGACACTGAAATTGACCTCAAGAGCATCCCCATTTCTATTGATCAACTTTTGTTTCTGTTTCTACACCTTCTTTGGAGTCCACTTGTGGTTAATTCAATGAATTGGACATGATTTGGAAAAGCACACAACCGTCTATATTATCCCACAGCTGACAATGTATTTCAGAGCAAAAACCAAACAATAAGGCCAAAGGAATTGCCTGTAGAATTCAGGCATGCTAATAACTTCTAATGCTAATAACTAATAACTTTGAGTGTCCCGATCGAAAATCTCTGGAGAGATCTGAAAATAGCTGTCGACTAACAGTCCCCATCCAAAATGACAGAATTGGAGAGGAACTACGGAGAAGAATGACAGAAAATCCCCAAATCCAGGTGTGCAAAGCTTGTCACATCACACCCAATTAGACTCAAATCCATTGCTGGATGAATCCCTCTGGGGTCCCCAGGCTGACATGGATGGGAGTGGGAGTTCTGTCAGTAAAATACACCAATCAGGGAGAGCAACTCACTGATGGATTGATTGACTGCATTTAAGAAGTTTAATCATTCCCTCTTTGCCATGACCTTAGGCTGTAGCCAATGATAGCTTATACCTCTCTCCACCCCTGAAGCCAACGATAGTCTACAATTCTTGCATATGTTTGTTTAACTGTATTCTCTCCATGTCTGTTTACAATTTGTCTACCACTGTAGCGGAACAGTATCAAAGACACAGAAGGTGTAATGCTAGTATTTCTTCTTCTTTTAGGCAACTTTGTGCTGGTTAGCGTGGCAGTGCAACAACCGGTAACCTACAACTACACTCTGGGCTATAGGAAGCTGGGTGGCACGAGGTCTCACAGTAGAATAGTCCATTACAGCTGGGACACTAAAAATGCAAATAACAGACATGTTGCTATATATAAATGAGCATATTATCTTATACCCATAAATACAACTTCTGGAAATTCTGTCTTCATGGGGCCCCTTGATTTCCGGGCCCCTGGTGGCTGCCTACATTTGTCTTTAGGTAAATCCTGCCCTGCTCAAAGTTGTAATCCCTATAAAAGGGGCTTTAATTATGTACTGAGTAGAGGGTCAATGTGATGTTTCAGTTTTTTTATTTTTAATAAATTCAAATTCAAAATCCGGCAAGTTATCCAGCTAAGCAAGAAATCTGGCTTTGAGATATATACCCCAGGTGAACTGACGATAAAAACCAAAAGAAAACACAGATTTCCTCAATGACCAAGCTTCTTAGAACAGGCACCTAAAGCACTGTCACACCACACACATATGATTATCTTCTGGAAGGATTTGGTGTCATTTTTTCAGGACATTTCCAGTGCCTAATGCTGCACACATTACTGTAATAGACCAGACCCGAGCCCGATGGACCCAGTTCAGCCGGTCAGATTTTTATATTCAGGCTCAGGTTCAGGTCAGGTTCAGATTAGTTTTTTATGCATGATTTTTTTTTAAATGCGCAAATAACCTTTTTTTGCGCTCGCTGGGTTAGTTTTCTTGCGCTACTTTGCTCGTTTGTGCTTTCAGTTTCACATTTCTTGGGTTCGAGTATTAAATTTCGGTCAGGTTTGGTTCAGTCTGAAAGTCTTAGTAATAGGCTGGGCTTGGGCTTTAATTTGGACTCTATTCTGAACTCTGATGGTTTATGTTATGTTACACTCAGACGTTTCAGCATTATGTCCTCATCAGTGTGCATTTTCAAAAGTACCTTAAATCCAACAACATTTAAGGTAGTCTGGGTTAAATTGGCTTTACCTTTGTCCACTTACATGTAGCTCAGACTACCTTTAATCCGACAAGTTATCCAGCTAAGCAAGAAATCCTGCTTTGTGGAACACCCCCCAGTAACTAAAACTCAGGCAGGAACTTAAATACAAAAACTGAACAGTGTAATGACAAGCAGGAGTGAAACAGACAATTAACCAATAGGGGAAGGTGCAGGACAACGAGCAATCAGGAAAAACACACAAGGGCAGGAACAAGAACGGGCAACAGGTGAAACTAATTAACTCGGGGGAACTAAACAGGGAAACTAAGAACTAACCATGGAAACATGGAAACAGAAACTAACACTGGGTGATAACAGACAGGTAGAAACACAAGCAGGGGCACAAAGAATTTAACCAAAACCAAATTCAAATCAAAAGATACAGGAACTAGAAAAACTCATACAATGAAACACTAGGGAACAAAATACAAAAACAGAGGAGGGGGAATTTGAACACATAACGAAAGGGATTGGCAGGTAGTCACACGCTCAACACATTGAGCCATGCAGCTGACAGGAAACAGAGGAGACACAATGACTTGACAGGAGGGACAGGATGGCCAGCGACACCTGCTGGCCAAACGGGGAAGGGACACAAAGGACTGAGACGACAGGAGCTGACCCTGACATGCAAAGGGAAACGTTTGCATTCTTTACAGTGTGATAATCTTACTGACCACTTGGTGTCACCATAACCATACTTGTCGATTGTACTTGATGGAGTTTTAAAGACTGTTTTCTTTTGTTTTCTTTTGTTTTGTGTTTTGTTTTGACTTCAGGAAGAAAAGACATTTAACAAAGGAGTAATTATGACTATGGATGTTTATCATACAAGGTAAAGTGATCAGGTGAAGGATGAACTGTACTTGCAAAGCTGCAAATTAAACTTGAGAAATGCAATTTTAAATGCTAAAACATGTTGCGGTATCATTATTATTAAATTGAATCCATATTTACCCACATGTAGGCAGTCATGAGAACCAAAGTCAAAATACAATTTCCATTTATATTTGTGAAAAGCCAACCGACATATGATAGCTACATGATACCCAGGGCTGTTACTGAATTTTATGAATAATTATACCTGTGTAGAATAAATACGCCCTGTGGTGGACTGGCGGCCTGCCCAGGGTGGACCCCGCCTCTCGCCCGATGATGCTGGGATTGGCTCCAGCTTCCCCATGACCCAGATGGATAAAGCGGTATAGATAATGGATGGATGGATAGAATACATACTAGAACTTCAAGTGCCACACATTCCCGTCTCTGCTGTTGGTTCGTCCTCAATACAGTTCCTATGGTAAACCGCTGGCCCTGAGCTCTATTGCATGATTCTGCATTTCCATGTCACATAACTGGCTGGTGTTCAGGGCAGTAGGGTTTTGTGAGGAATAGCTTCTGCACTCTGAAGAGATGCCTGTAACCTCTTAATTAAGGTCTCCGCTCCAACCATCCTGTCCACAGACATGGATGGAATGCCTGCTGGCAAGGAGAATGTGTTTGAGCTCATCCCAGATGATGAGGGTTACTTAGAGAGGGTGTCTGTTCATGCCATTCAGAGCATAGTCCTTTGGGAATTGCAGCTCACAGCTTTGCGTTTCTATGGTGCTGTTCAGTGCTGGGTCGCCTAGGGCGTCACCTACTGAAGGGATGCCAGCCACCTGCCTCATGGGCACATAGACTGTGCATCAGATCAGCTGGCCACCGACAGCTGGCCTGCAAGTGTCCTGCTCCCTGGCCTGCGGGGGGACAGCCTTCATTCTCACAGCCTCCGCATTCCCCTTCATTCTCACAGCCTCCGCATGGCAGCTGGAATGAGAGGAGGCTTAATATGGAACACTGATGCTTCAGCTTCAAGAATGTAACAGAAATCACTTAAAGAATCCCTGGAATCCCGACTGGAGAACTTCATATTAGGTATATCCATCCATTCATCCATCCATCCATTTTTTTTATCTGCTTATTTGCAGGGTGGCAGGGATTCTACTATATTAATTACTATTAGTAACAATAGAAAGCATTATAAAGGCATTATGAAGATGTGGTTACTGTAAAACGTTACCATCTAATGGTTTAGACTACTAGTTGTTTAGTGTTATATTAAGTGTGAAATACATATTACCCTGGGAAACATGAATAAGAGCGGAAAAAAATGACTTCAAACGACAACAAGTAACTGATGTTACAAAACTGGTAAATTAGTCACTGTTCTGTGCTCACAGTCACTCTGGGTAGCTTATTAAGTTTGTTCACTGGATAGTGCCTGAAGTCCAGAACATTCCTGTGATACTGAATCATATTCTGAGGAGTGTTACCTTTAACCCCAGTGTAATTTAATATGTCAGGTGATAAAAAGCCCTTTGGTGTAGCTTTTACGTAGCACTGGCAGTACTGGTCTCTGTGATCACATTCAATATTTTCCAATGAATACTTAACTATAAAATCAATTTACTTCTAGCAAAAGAAAAAAAGAAACAAAGGAACAGTACATAAACTCCAGCAAAATAACCTTCATTCATTTACTAGCAAACCAAACTATAACTTGAAGCATTTGAAAGATTTAGGACGT